AAGCCATCTTTTGGGGATCCCCTATAGATGGATAGATGGGTAGGTAGACAGATAGATAGATGGATAAACGGATCTATGGAGAGATGGATAGATTTACATCACAAATAGAAAGAAAATAGATAGGTAGATAGATACAGATAGATGCATATGTAGACACGCGCGTAGTTTGCAGGCACCTCTGGAAAATTGGTCCCGCGGCCTAGAGTGATGGAAGCGAGCGTCAACAGGGCTGGTGGGGCCTGTACATCCGTTCCGACATAAAATACTGGGCACATGCTCAAGAACGACAGTCACAGAACAAGTTTCTAAAGACTCCACATCCCGCTCACGCTCCCCAAAAGGCGCTGGAGTACGCCGAGGTGCACATTGGTTCTCTGGGCTAGAAACAAGCAGGCAAGGTTTCTGGCTCTCGGTTTACACAATCCAGTGACCACTTAATGTCTAAGTTTAAGCGAGTGTATCTGCACACTCTATACGACAATCCATCGACTCGTTTGCAGTGAAAGACTGCATAGTCGAAAAATTGGACTCCGCACGCGTGTCTTTTAACTTTCAACCTCGAACCAAGGCCAGCAACGAGCGGGAGAGCCGGCGAAACAATCCGGAAACACCCAAGCCAGGAACCAGCAAACGACACACCAAGTACTCCAACATGCCGGCAACAAACTCTCCATCCTACCTTCTCCACATTTCCTGCAGCTTGACTATCATCTTCACGTCTTGGCATGTCTTGGCAATAAGCTCTGCAAGTATGCTGTGGAACTTCTGATTTTATTGTCATCAAGCAAAAGGCTCGTCCCAGTTCTGGAATCGCACACAACCCGATGCAGAAATGCACATGCGCCTGTCACTGCGAGGCTGTCTGATGAGTCACTTCTACCACCATGACAGTTTTGAACCCAGGCTCAAATCCCGCATCAGCTGAGAATCGGCAACCAACATGACTGACCGTCTTTGCAGAAGACAGACATGCTCGTAACTGAACAAGTGTGCCTAAATACCACAGCGACGTGACGCGAAACATCCGTGAACGACACACACACACTCTTGCTTCTGACAGATCCTGCAAATGGGAAGCCATGCCAGCAACACGGAGAAGTGGTGGAGCCGTCGCTCCGGTCCGATATCGCACCGACCCCGCACTCAGACAAGCGAAGATGCAGGTGTACTGGGCACGTTTAGGGCATGTGCATGTAGCTCGGCGGCGACTGCACGGACAGTTCAGAGATGAGATGAGACGACAGGAAACCATGAATGGCACAGACCTTGCGACACCCAGGGAATGCATAGACGTGGCAGGTGCAACTCCACTGCACGTTTGAATTAAGGTGCTGGAATGCCAGGAGCTCACGATCAATCTCCCGGCCCACTTCCACCAGAAAGCCTTTCGACGCACCGACTTTCAGCGAGGACCAGTTGAGCCTCACATGGGCTTGAATCAGCATCAAAAGGTATCAAAAATGTTACTTGGGGGACTCTGGAGATGTTGGCATTGCTTTGGGTTCTGTTTCCTGTCTCCGATGCGCTGGAGCAGACGTGTTTTCAGAACTTATCGTGCTTCTTGCTGCTGGGCAGCGCGGGTTTCTTGGGTCTGACGTATGTGCGAAGCCTGCAGTACCTGGACGACACCTCGGTGTCGAAGAAGCCCTCCTCCACCTCCTTGGCTGGCGAGCCGTGGAACCCACAATCTCATCATATCAATGCCAGTAGAAGCAGAATGCTTCACCCAAAATGTGTGATTTGTTTCTGCCATGGCGCGATTTCATTGAAACGGTAGAGGTCATTAAAAACCTGGAAGGCCCGAACGTCACCTCCGTGGGCAACAGACTGAGAAGCAACGAAAGAGAGCCGCCACAGTCGAAGATCAATTTCGGGCTCCTGGCCTGATCCGAGGCTGAACGGCCCACAACAACCAGCTCGAAGGCAGAATGCCGTGCCTAGGGTTCCAGGGGTCCCTGACGGGTTCGGGAGCTTTGTCTCTGCTCATGCTGTCAGGCTGCAGCACAGGCTGAGAAGTAGCAAAACGACCTCGCCGCAAAAGGGTATCTCTCCACTGTTGTGACCCATGGGGTGCTAGACACACTGGCGGATCTTCGATGTTGGCTCTGTTGTTCGGGACAGACTGCGCAACCTGATAACATCTTGCTCAACCCATCACCAAGCCACAAAGCCAGTCACTGACCAAGCGACCTGAGGACCGTGGTTAACCGCACTTGCCAGCATGTATCTGTCACCCAGGACAGCTAGGGTTGCCCATGACAGCAGAGCGGCGATGAAGTTCACTTCTTCGACGGATAGTGCCATCCATTCTACAAAGTCTCATTCCCAAAGGGGGAAGGTTTACAGGCTTCCGAGAACTGTATACAGCAAGTGGCGAAACAAAGTGCGTCTCCTCTTACAGGCACTTCAGTGCTAGAGTTACTAGAGAGGGTCTGATCGTCATGGCTTTTGAACGATGCATGCCTGAATCAGATTGAGACTGCAAGCTTCGACTAAAGGCCAGCAACCGCGAGAATGCGACTAAGGCAACAGCTTCTGAAGATGTGCTCACTCTGACACCTTTGAGGTCTTCCAGTCTTGCGGAGACATCGAGGATCTATGACCATGGCGCCATGTGGAGCCAGCTGCTTGCCAGCTCTGCTAAGCAAACAGCAGCACCCGGAAAGTGAGTCTTGAAGATATGTCGCTGAGCTTCACAAAGCAACGCCTCAAGGCTTGCTTCGGCGACACTGCTGAGTAAGATTTCAGCACAGGTGTCTATATGTCGAGCCTTTCGAACCTCTCCATTGGAGGAGCAGCTCCACATCACCTTCTACAAAAGTACCTTGAAGGTAGACTGGTGCACGCGGCACCGTCACCGAAAATCCGGATGGCTGAAGGCAGGTCAGGCTGTTTGCTGGCCGGCCTAGCAGCACATCAATTGGCCGCTGGATCAAGAATCGCGCGGCTTGAGCATGGCTACATCCTGTATAAAAAAATTCTAGCCCTGACAGCTGCAGGCGCTTCGAGCCTTATGGATAGCTTGACTGATCCTATCTAGCTCCTTCATGGAATCGCGGTACCTTGCCTTGGCCAAGGCCACTTCCTCACTGAGCTCTGCTACGTGCTTGTGTGCCGCATCCAGAGGTAGTTGTACCTTATGCAGAGCTTTGAAGCATGGCCTGGCTCCTTCGATGGTTTTCTCGTCCACTTTGGATCGCTGAAACTTTAAATCTTCCTTTGTGCTTTGGAGCGTCAGCATGGCAAGCTCGTACTCAGACTGTAGGGACTTGACTTCCTGGCGAAGCTTTGAGACTCTCTGCGAGCCCGCGGCCAGCGCAGGAGACGGGCTGCCCGAGTCCCTGAGCCTGACCACAACTTCTTTAAATTGCCGCCGGGCAGTACGATACCTTCTGCGGACGGAGTCCGCACGATTCGTAGCTGCTTGGCACTTCTCCAATGCATCAAAGTAAGGCTTGGCGTAGTCGATAGCACCACTTAAGCCACCACCGTATTGCGATCGCAGTTCGTTGTAAAGACGGCTCCAATCTGTGAGCGCTAACTTGTGAATCGCTTGTGCACGTGACAACTCCGATTCCAGTCTGTTCGTCTCCGCAGCCGCATCGTTCATGTGATCTAACAAGATTGGCACTTGCCTTGCTCCACGGGCGAAATACAAGCAAGCGTCAATGGCACGAAGACAAAAGCACACTCATCATGTGTAGGACTTCCACCGAGAACGGCGACTCTCTATCTTTAGGTCAGTCACTTGGCAAGCTCCTCCTCAAATTCTTGCAGGTCCCTGGATGCCTCGCACGGCTTCATTCAACACACAATCACACCGGCTCATGTGGTTCTGCTAACATCAATACAACCAGAAGCAACATGATGCAGCGAACGTTAGCATGTGTCGTGTTTTGCCGTGTGTCTTGGACTACTTTCATTTCACGTGCCCACACTCTCAAAAAGTTGGCCAACATGCCGCCATCGTCTACCGTTAACGCAAGTTTGTCTGAAAGCGTGAACTGATCCAAATCGTTTACTTTACAGGCTTTAACACTGTTTACAACAGACACGTTACATAGCATCTTGAGAGACGGAGGTGTTTGCATTCTTCCCTATAATCACTGCCTGGAATCCTTTCAAGCGAAAAATTATTGGCATGGTGTTGTTGAACGTCTTTGTCGTTTGAAAGGGGTTTAGACATGTTAGACATGCTCGGACAAGCTCAGTTGAAGATTGAGATAGATGCTTGTCCTCGTGGCGGCAGCCAGGCTCATTAAAAACTGTGCAAACAAGGCTCTCGACCGGCCGACTCTCCTTTAACAACTTACAGATATTGTGTTTGGATGTTGACGTGCCCGTGTTTGCAGGTCCTCGTGCTTCGGAAATGATAGCAATAAACATAATGTATCAAAAATCGATGGCCTCTCGAGTTCACCTCGATTTAGGGCTTTTGCAGAGTTCGACCGGTTCCCTTTTCAGGATGCTATGCCACTGCTAAGAACGTGGTTTCGTTTGTGGTGGAGTCGTTCGAGAACTCCAGAGATTCGCTGAGAATGGGCGTCAGTCGCGCTCAACATCTCCTTGTAGGTCGTTCCTTTCTTCCTTCTTGCCGCCCTTCTTAGTGGACTCACAAAACCACGAGACCAAAGCATCAGAAGACAGGTGGACCGAGACCAAAACAACGAACAGTTGAACAACAAGTACTAAGAATGCTTAATGATGATTAATGATTAATAATGATCATTAATGATTAATATTTTAGCACCTCCAAGAGTGGCAATATTCTGCTCCTTCGCTTTGCAGCGAGCATGCAAGCTGGCATGCGCAAGTGGGTGCACCTGCTGTCATGTGATATATATATATATATATGTGTGTGTGTGTATGTATGTATGTATGTCTATATACCTATATCTATCTATATATATATATATATAGAGACCCCCCCCCCCCACCCCCAACCGCTTGTGCATACAGCTTCTCCTTCAGACGAGCAGCAACCTGAACTTCCTTCGAAGCCCCTTGAGGGTCGGCCATGACGGAACCACACATCCTGGCAAGCACTCACCTCTACAGTCTCGAAAAGCATGCTCGCTGATCCTTGTGCTGGCGAGTCACCTTTACAATCCCCTCTTAGGTGGGTCACCGGTTACGTGGGCCATGGGCGACTAACCGGATTGAGCCACGCAAGCCGCCCGTCATACACAAAGACTCCCCTCAAGTGCTACAGAAGTACATGCTCAGGAAATGCTTCAAACTGCGCTGAAGTGCTGCTCGGCCACGTGATGATGGAGCTACACCAGCAATATAAACTATGCAACAAACGCGCCTCGCTGCAGGGCAGTTGCCCGGACAACTCACAGACGCGAAGATAGAGGAACTCGGGTGTTGCTGTGAGCGCCGCACCTGACACATTGCAACATCAGTGAACAGAAAGCTGAATGACGGGCATCGCATAAGCAGCAGGCAGTTTGGCATTCGATGAGGCTCCTGGAACTCCCTGAGTTCGGTTTAGTCCATGGTCGTCCATAACACCCTTCGAACCTCTAGGTTCGTTTGGGGTGCGGACGGCGGGCAGCGTAGAAGAGGCAGCTTCTGCTCTGGTACAGAATCAGCTATGGAGGCCTCTCTCTGACAGATACCAGCATACTGGGCAGCACAACCTGTGAGCACTTTAAGCCCCGCGCCTCCCTGAAAACCCCATGTGGGTGGAAACTGCGGCTGCAACTGGGGAAGCCTGGCATCACATGGCGAGTTTGTTACACGCGCCAGCTTTCTCACATCACCAGACGGTGACCTGTGCTGACACTCAGCATGGACAGATCCTTCTGAGACCTGATTGCAGGACACGACGGACGCATAACCTCCCGATGCTCTCAGGGCAGCTGCTTGACCGGTGAAAGAGGCAAGTCAGACTCCGAGTCCTGCGATCGGCGCAGGCACTGCCAGAAGAGGCTAGGCAGCTATAGGCCTTTTGCCACTTCCTGCACAATGGCTTGAGTTAGCCTGTTCGACATTCCTCCGACCTCCTCTTCAAAGCTGTGCTGGTGCACTTGTGACGGCAGGCTGTCGGAAGCACTGCCTGGAAAGGCAATGGCTGGGCCTAGCATCCGCACACGATCGTCGTCTAGGGCCCCCAGCCTTTTTGCAAAGAAGTGGGTTTTCGCCATCGCTTCGGCACCAAGTGTCTGTGCCACAAAGCTCACAGAAGTTCTTCTGAATGCATCCAGAGCAAACGAGCCTGCTGCTGGTCGCAGCTTGAGGAGGTACCGGTGGCAGCACCGGCAGAGGAACGAATCCATTTCCTGCCTTTCTGATGTGCTCGGGACACTCATCGAAAAACTACCTTGAGTGTACTGTTGGCATGAGCACCATGTCCTGCCCAGCATGCCAACACCGCATTCGATGTGTGATCCTTTCTTGGAAACGACCGAAGTCCTATCAGGTGTTCCGATAGGCAAATGCTGTGCTTCCGAAGATCTGCCTATCTTCAGGCATGTCCTGCAACATATCTGCGACACTGGACGGCCTGTCGCTGCCCGCTTCAGCGTTCACAATGGGGAGACGGAAGGAGCTGACTTTAGAGTGAATGGAATTGGGAGAGAGCGATGGAGTTAGCAAGCACGGAGACGGCCAAGGACAGACTAAACGAAAAAGCACAGGTGAATCCACCGGAGAGACACTGCTAGTTCTTCAGATGCCACTGGGGTGAGCACTGCAGCCAAGATTTGGCCTCAACATGTCTGCAACGATGCGCGCGTGTCTGCATTACAAGGCTCGGGGAGAAAGAGCGAGAAGGGAGAGGAGAGTGTGCTTCCTGCAGCTGCAAGCTCTCAGACCTTCTGTCTTGCGTCCGTCACTCGGGGACCAGCCCACTCGTGAAGCTGCGTCTCGTCGAGCTCAACCTCGTCAGTCCTTCAATCGACACAAGCTGTCCTGCCAGCCGACTCACTCGATGACTGGATTGACTGGATGATCCTCCTCCACTCGCCTGAGGGCCGCCTGGCTTGCTTCGTCTGTGGCGAATCATCTCGTACGATGTTTGCCGGCATCATAGACATGTAGGAAGCCCGAAGGGGGAGATGCTGAAAATCATCGAATGTCGATTGACCGACGACTGGCAAGCACCACTTGTGTGAGCCTTGTCCCCTGCTCGGGATTAGATGCCGAATCTGGCCCTGAGCTGTCTTGTCTTTAGAGTGGGGACTCCCACGCACTTCCGACGCCATTTGTGTCGGGGCAGTGGCAGGTGGAGGCCATCGTGTGGGCCATGCAGGCTCCGTGCCTGGAGCCGCTCGCTCCGCCCGCTCCGCTGCCACGTCGTTTCAGGCCTGGCGCGAGGGTTTTTCGCGTGTTTGTGGACAGCGCTAGCTTGAGATTTTGCATGCAAGCACCCTTTGCGGGTGCGGTGACCCCTTCCCAGCGCTAGGACTCCTATGAGCTCACAAGATGATCGGATCATCGTGATCCGAGGCCTGGCTTGGGGTCCACGGCCTCTCGGCGAACGCAGACAAGACTGGCAAACAAGTCGACTTGGAACACGGTCGGCTGCTTTGGGAAGGCCTTACCGACAGCCTTGGGCTTCACAAGCTTGTCGACCTTCAGGAAGGAAGGTGAATGAAAAACCCTCAACCTGTCAGAACGGCAGAAGTAAGGCTAGGATCTGCCAAGCGGCCACTTGGTCCATGAAGCCCGGCCGGCTGCCAGCTTCGCGAGACCTTTAAGGTAATCTTGACCGCACGAGCAGATTAAAAATCGACATGTCAAGGAGACCACCTCCTCCTGTGAGCGCATCGTGAAGCGGACTTACCTACCGAGTCCTCATGAGTCCGCGGGTGGTTTCAAAATTCCCTTCTTCCAGGATTCCAGATGCGCCGGTGGCTCGACCTGAAACCGTGCTAGCGCAACCAGATAACGACCTGGGTTTGTAAGGGAGACCGGGTTGTTGCAATATTTCGCGTCCCCATTGTTTACGTGCGCGACACCAGCACCTACCTAGAATGCATGCCCACGTTTTGCGTGTGGCTTTCATGGGAAACTTGAAAGGCATGCTGTCTCTAACCACCGAGAATTTCACTCCTCCAGCTTGCGAGGCGGAGCCTGAGCTTTGGTCCGCGAATAAAACGAGAGACGAAGGAGGAGAGTAGAGACGGAGAGAGAAAGAAACCGAGAGACAGATAGAGCAAAAACAGAAGATGCATAAGGCAGATAGATAAGTAGACCAGTTGAAATGATAGATAGATAGGTAAGTAGATAAGTACATAGGTAACTAGACTAAGATAACAGATAGATACAAAGAAAAAGAGATAAATAAATAGATAGACACATAGCTAGACACGCACGTAGTCTGCACGCACCTCTGGAAAATTGGTTCCATGGAAGTGTCGCGGCCTAAAGTGATGGGAGCGAGCGTCAACGGGGCTGGTGGGGTCTGCACATCCGTTCCGACATAAAATACTGGGCACATGCCCAATCCACCACAATTTCGCGAACCGGAGAGACATCTCCAAGGCCCGCACGAGAGCTTGGACAGCAAGATGTGCCGCGATTCCTCTCGGCTCAGTGGCATGCACTGAGAAGGGAAGGCAAGTCACGAACTCTTTAAAGGCGTGTGCAACTGCCGTGCGGCACTCCGTTTCCCATGCTTCGTCCCTTGAGCCACCGTCCGCGTGGCAGCGCTCTTCAGTCAAGAGAACACATCGCTAGAAGGACCCTATATATGTGTCGTTTTCAGAGTCACCCCATTTAAAGTTGACTGAAGGATTTCAATGAAAAGGGAACAAACAAAGCTGCTGCTGCTGGTCTTCATACTGCAGTCGACTCAGCGATGCTTTCGCCGAACGACGTCGGGCCTGAGTACTTGTGTCCATGTCCACAAAGCTCAGGACTCCAGTTCGGAGGAACTGCTCCAAGGTTCCGTTGCCCCGGAAGGGAACCTCCTTGGTGAGCCCGTCTGCTAGCATGTTTTGGTGGGGAGTCCATCGCACCATGCTCTTGGAATGCTGAAGATCACGGAGGATGATAGCCAGCTCTGAGGCGGACTTGCGGTTTTGTCTTCCAGCAGGATGCTCCTTTAAGATGCAGTCACACGAACACTTCGCATCCGTCACCACGCAGTGAGCATTCCGACCGGAGCTCAGGCTGGCCTGCCAGTTACGCAGCTGGACATCGTTGAAGACGGCGTCCCGGTACATCACCTGAAGCCACTCCACCTCATTGACTTCGTGCAGCATGGCCTGGGTCTCGCCACCGAAAATGCTAAACACCTTCCGCTTGAGTTTCGAAGAGCGCAATGACATAGGGCTGGCACGCACTCGTCTATCTCCTTCAGGAAGAGCTTCTGCCGTCAACACCAGCCAGGCGCCTTGAGTGGCATCCGTCGGGAGGCCCTCCTCGTCCAGCAACTCCTCCTTGGTGTTTACGCCTCCAGCATCTGAGATGGCCAGAAACACCATAGCTTCCGGGATCAAACTGCTGTATTTATAGCATCTTGGCAGTGTTGCGGAAGTGATTGACAAACTGGTTCACTAGTATGACATCCTGCACGATTGCCACCTGCAACCTTGAAGCCATGATTGAAGCAGCCCCGGCTGCCTCCGGGGTCTCGCGACCAAGCCAGTTGAGCTTGTACACCAGAGAGCGGAAGGCTTCGAACTTAGAGGGTGATAACTTCTCTCCCTGGAGCCGCTTGCGCTCGCGGGTCAAAGGCACCGCGGTCACCTGCTCCGGGATGTATTTTTCCCGAGACACCGCAAGGTGATCGCCCTTGCCCTCGATGAGTCTCCCGGCGTACTCCGCGTCACTCGCTTCGACTCTCTTCCCGTTTGCCGAACCTAAAACGTTGTTGAAGGCTGGCCTTCAGCTCTGGCATGGCGGCTTGACATCTGCAACAGCCCGGACATGTCGAAGATTGATCCACGCCTGCAGGAAGAGCTGTAGTGACTCCGATGCCGGCGGGGCATACGTTACAAGAGATCCCGTATCTGGGTCGTGGTGGCCATGCACACACCACCTACTTTTAGCCTTCCACTTGCCGAGGCCTGGCATCGGCTTTTTCCGCCTGACCATTCGGCTCGACAAAAAAAGCCTGGTTGGATGTCGAGCCCTTCCGTCAATGGCCTTCTGCTCCATGAGAACTCGCTCAGCTCCCGAATCAATGATGCTCTTCCAATCCAGAAGGTCCGAGCTCTCGAACATGTCGCGCTCGGCTTTCGCCAAGCTCTTCAAAAAGACTTCGTCGTTCCGCTTTGCCAGCCAAGTCCACTCACATGAGTTGAGACCAAGCATCCGGTCGCCCAGCGGTTAGTTGGAGAAAGTTCCGGAGCAGGAAAACCTGGTACAGCTCGTCTTGCTCCTCGGCTGGCCCGCTTGCGGAGGTGTCCGGTCCCGTGTCCTAAAGAAAACTCACCTCCTCCCACTCCCGGACCTGCCTGTCCACACGGCCACGTCCAGGTAGTTCTTCTTCCGGAGCCGCTTGCAGCAGAGGCTGCACTGCCCCGGAGCTCTCGTGCCCTCTGTCTCATTGGTCCTGGGCACCTTTCGGGCTAGCTCGCCGTCTCCAACTTCATCTTCAGCATTCTCTTCCCGCTCGTCCTCAAGGATGGCTGGAGGTGGCTCGGCATGCTGACTAGGAGGTTCGCCGTCTCCGAGGTTAACGAGGACCTTCGAGATGGTTGATAGCCCCGACCGTCGTACCAGACTAGACACGCCGCAGGAGCTCAGAGAGGCTGGGATCCGATGCCCAACTCCTCCACCAGATTTGCAAGGCGAAGTTGTTCCGGAGCGCATCGCCACAGCCGAGCGGGCATTCCAACATAGACAGTGCCATTGTTCGCAACCACCACAAGCCCGGGTCCGACCCAACGACCTCTAGGATGGGGAGGATCACCTCGTCGGCCTCGTCGGAAACAGTACTCAGCACACCCACTGTCAAGGGGGTAATCGTCGAGTCTAGTGGGTGGAGGCCTTCACGGCTCGCTATGCTGAGCGCCATCGCTGCTTGCCTCGCACACTACCGTATCTCCATTCTCCTGCGGTACTCCGTCGAAGGGGCATCGGGCTCGATGACAGTGATCCAGTCGCTGCCGAATTGAGCACCGTTGATCACACTCATAATTCATTATCTTCCTGACCTTGATGTATTTCAGCACATGGGGAAGGGCGCCCGCCGCCCGCATCATCCGGAGAAATCGAGCCTTCGGAGGGTGGCCAACGTTGATGTGCACTTTATGCACGAATCGCTTTCGACTCTCAGTCACTCGTAGCTGGTCTCCTCCGGGGTCCTCGATAGGCTATGCCGTGGTTGTGGTCAGGAAAGAGTACAAATGACTCGCCGCACGCGGGAAGTCGCTTTGGCAGTCGCCACAGATTGCCACACTACCTCGCGGATTGAGGCCTGCCCCAGGAAGGTAGTTGGCCGGCGAAGTCGATGTCGTGGAGCACCAGGTTTAAAGCCCGAGGTGCGCAGTCTTCGTCTTCGTCTTGTTCGATTGTCGATCTTCTCGATGGTTGGTCCAGCACGCCACCCCACATCGACTTCCCTTCCAGGGCTCCCCTCGTGATAGTAGCGGGTGTCGACAGTCACCAGCTTCCGGAAGGGATTGAACATCTGACCTTGCAGCCGACGGCCACTATCGAGAACTCGGTCACATCGCTCCTCTGCCTTGCCGGCCACGGCCTGGCAGGCATCCTCTGTCCAGAGCCAATGCCAGTGTGTTGCCCACACGTGTTAACGGAGTTCAAGCTTTCGCGGAGATTGTACTTGTCAGTATGAAGCCCCACGCCCAAGCCAACACCAGTGTTCAACGAAAAGCTGGAGCGTGGGCCGGTCGCACCATGCCAATCCAAGAACTTGTTGATGTAGTTCGTGCAGTAAGGGCGTAGCTTGGGTTGCCGCGTTATGCCCGACACACACCACCATGGCTAAACAGCCCAAACGTACAGATAGGAGAGGTGGTCGAGCCGCGTGTGCCACTTCGGACAGAGGTACCTCCGAGCAAGCTCGTCATACAAATCATGTTAAACACTGCGTGCTTCCGAACTGATCCGTTTTCCAACCGGCTCACTGTAAAGACTGGAAGTGAATGCCACTTTGGCATGCAGCAGCAAAAGTCTCCCGGGTGGGCGGGAGGGTCGAGACAAAGCTGCGCAGCAGAGTTGAACATGTTCGTCATGTTAAACACCGCGCGCTTCCGAACTGATCCGTTTTCCAACCGGCTCACTGTAAAGACTGGAAGTGAATGCCACTGTGGCATGCAGCAGCAAAAGTCTCCATCCAGCGAACCCGGCCAACAGCCTGTAGACAGCCTAAAAGGCGTAGCAGCTAGTGCGCTGGGGAATAACGGAGCAGCAAAGGAAGCAAAGAAGCGGCTGCTTGCACATTCTCCCTTGCTCGTAGACTCAGCTTAGGGAGGACCGATTCAGCAGAAACTTCCTGTAGGTAGTAGGCGAGCGTAGCCTGATTCTGCAGACGCATTGTCCATTGAATGTCAGCAATCGGCCTCCTCCGGCAATAGGCTGCTACGGCTCCGCCGCCCGCCGCCTCGCAAGCAGCCCAGCGTCAACCTGAAACGAGGAGGAATCTCGAGCGCCGAAAGCAGCTTGTCCCAACGTCGCCTGAAAACGGCAGGGCTCCCAGGAAAAAGAGGCTCAGATCCCTTAAGTATCCTTAAGTGAGCCCCATGTACTGTCGATGAAGGCGGCGTGGTCGGGCTCGAGGTCGATGGCAACGTGTTGCACTCGGGCTCCGCGTCCTCTCGTCTTAGGTTCTCGGAAAAGAAGGTAATACCGAGAGTCGGTTTGCAAGAGGTCCCTTGGAGTGAGAAGATCGGCCCTCCTCGCCCCAAGAACCTCTCCAATACGACAGCAGCCCAGAAAACACAACAAAGCGGCACACGCCCAACCATGCCAGCTCCAGGTGACGGCTAGGCTAATCATAGTCCAGACAATCGGCTCCGGCATTGGAGTCCGATGCACCGTAGGCTCCAAGCGTTCCCACTTGCTGAGCAAAATCCAGGCTGGCTTCAAGCTGGCTCTCGTCCTTGGCACGAGGTGCTGACAATGAGCCAATAGCTGTCTAAACTCCTGCAGCGAGCGCCCACGATCATAGAGGTGCTGCCCATAGCTAAGCAGCACTTCCACAAGGAGGTCAGGCTGCTTCTCAAGAGTAGGCCAGACCTCAGAACCAACCTCACGGTCCAGCCAGTCTCGGAAGCCAGCCCAGATACCAGCTCGCAGCACAGCAGTTCCTTTAGTCACTGTGTCAACTTCCCGTCCCGCAGCTGAATCTCCGCGCGTCGTCGGTTAGCTTTCCTTGGGCGGGGGTGGCTCGCCTCTCCGATCCGCCCATCACCGCACTTGGCATAACGGGCGAGGTCGAGCGGCCTGAAATTTCCCAGCCATCCAGCGTCCTGAGCAGAGGCAGTGGCGAGGAGCACCGAGAGCCTCTTCGGGTAGGGCTCAGCCAGCTTCGTCCAGGAAACTCCTGACGATCTTTCCCTGCCTCTGAGAACCAAGTGGGAGTGGTCGCCAGTGCAGCGCATTCGCGCTCCAGACATCTGCCCATTCGTCCGGAACCTGGTAGCCTTCCGCCACTTAGTTCCGAAGCGGCAGAAGTCACAGAGAAAGTCGCCCCACTCGCCTGCACAACTTCGAGAGTAAACTCCAGCATCCTATTGCCTGCCAGAACTTTATCTCGTTGGTCCTGCCGAAGCCTGGGATGACCCTGAGGGTACTCCTTAGTCCTCCAGGCCGGCGTGATAGCTGAAAAAAAAGAGCTGCAAACCGGCCCCCCACTGACTCCTGCAAACGTCTTGGCCTCAATAAGCTCCAGAACAAGACTCTGCAGACTAGGATGCAGCAGGTCTTCGTCCCCCATGGCTAATATCGAGGCACAGGATCCAACATGGCGAGCAAGCGGCTAAAGCCTTAGCGAAACCCCTCGACCCTGAAAACAAATCAAGCCACCCCGGAGCCGAGGAGAGAGCCGCGTTGAGGTCAGGGAAGACGGATGAAATGACAAAGCGCCCAGGTGGCATGTCAAGGAGAAGTCCACGGATGTGGGGGCTACAAAATCCAAGCCAAAGTCCAGGTTCGGCCAGAGACCGCAAAGGCACACTCTGTCGGGAACTCTGAACGCCGGCGACGCCCTTAGCAGGTTCGGCCAGAGACCGCAAAGGCACACTCTGTCGGGAACTCTGAACGCCAGAGACGTGCTTAGCAGGTTCGGCCAGCGACCGCGAAGGCACACTCTGTTGGGAACTCTGAACGCCAGTGTCATGCTTTGCAGGTTCGGCCTGAGACCGCAAAGACACACTCTGTAGGGAACTCTGAGCGCCGGTGTCGTGATTCGCAGGTTCGGCCTGAGACCGCAAAGACGCACTCTGTAGGGAACTCAGACCGCGGAAGTCAGCTTCTGTAGATTCGAGAGAGGACCACGAAGCGCGCTCTCAACACCGGAAGCAGCTGGCAGGGTCGATCCGGCTAGGAGCGACACCCGTGGAGGCTAAGGTTTCAGGCTGTGAGCTTTGACAGGCTGCAGGCACTCCGTGACAACTTCTGACATGCTGGGGGCTACGGGAGTACTAGGGCTACTAGGGTATAAGGGGGAAGCACGAACCCTAGATTCAAAACCGCGGCACGTTGCCCCTCCGTCAACCGCTCGCACCCACGAACAGTGTAGCCTATGAGCACGACTCGACAGCCCGTCCAGCGCTGAGTCGCGCGCAAGCGTCTCGGGTCAAAAGCTACCGCTCTCTCACTCACCGGCAGGCAGCTCTTCGCCGAAGAGGGTGTCACCTTTATGGCGAAGAGCCACGCCTCCGTTAATTGGCGGTCTCGACCCAGATGCCCCCTCCCTTGAAGCGGGAAAGAGGCAGCACCACATTTGGCTCGGTAGACAAAATTGTTGCGATCGACATGAGGCAAAGTCCTCACGTTCTGGTTGACGCTCAAGGAACTGAAGATGAATCCCGGCTTAGCCTCCCTAAGGACCCTTGCCAGAAGCTGCACCGAAGATGGGAAAGCCTCGCAGGACCTTCGCAGGCCTGATACCCCTCCATGAACAAAAACCCCTGCCGAAAAGGAACCTTCAGTACGGCTCCAGCGCGAAGACCCCGCAGACACCTCCTTAGGCAACTCGTAGGCTTCCGCGACTCCAACTTGGCACCTCTGCCTCTGCCCGAAGTTCACGGCTTTCTGCTCGGGCCCATGGCAGGCTGTGAGGCGTTGGGAAGAGGGTCCAGGGACTGGGAGCATCTGGCCACAGTTCCTCTTTGTCGGGAAGCCCGGCAAGCTGCCTCGGATGAAGCCCCGGCTGGCTGAGGAAGGAGTCGAGCTTGGTGAAGTCGCCTTTCCAACTGTGCTCAAGCCAATCTGCCGGGGGCTTGCTTGGGCTCCGAAGGGCGGATGTATCCGTAGGAAGGCCGTACTCTGGAAGCAAGATACCCGCCAGTTATCGACGAAGCTCCCGATTGAGAGAAGCCGACGAAGACCTGCCCAATTGACAAAAGTCGCAAGAGCGACCTGCGAGTCCTGCAGGTGCACGTAGCGGTGCCCCGGGAATCGATGCCCGATGCGCTCCTCCCCGCGAATAGCGGCTCGAACCTCGCCGATGTTGATGTGGCGTCGGGCCTTGACTCGAACGATGCCCCCAAGCTGAGTAAACTGGAGAGCGCAGCAAAGCTCTTCCCACAGAGGGTGCGAGGAGTAACATTCCTCGGGCATTCCTTCGGAGTCCTCCTCCAACTCTCCACGCTCTCGGAGGTAAGCTTGGGTGGGGGAAAGCAGCCTTGCCCAACAGCCCCGCTGAAGTCCGTGTCGAGTCAAGTCAAGAGAAAGCTCGGGAGGCACGAAGGTGCTGGCACTAGCTTCAGCCGTCGACGAGGTGTCCGTAGTGAGGAGGATCGGGGCAGCCGGCGGCGCTCGCAGATCAACATCGACCTGGCACAACAGGGCCGCTGAGGCGAGCAACTCGCTGCAGAGGTCACCCTTCACAGACCCACTGGCAGGTTCTGTTGCTATTCAGCTACGTAATCTTTGTCTCTCAAGCCACCCAGCCCGTCGCGATCCAGGTAGTTGGTCGGCCTGGCGTGTTCGGAGTCATGCTGATTCCTTCTGCCATTACACGGCAGCACT